GTCTATAATTATATGTATTCATCACCATTTTAAAAAAGGGCCAATACTGTAATTTACTCTGTTTTTATATCATAAAGATATAACTGAAAACTGGGAAACTTAAATACGAAGAAAAGTCCTAAATAAAATATTAATGGGCTTGGGGAGGTGTCTTGGCTTGTAGGTTGAGTTAAGCATATTTGTTGATGGTTTGACTTTGACTAACGGAGTGAAATTGATTGGCCGTTAGACATGTAACGGTTTGGGCAGTTGATATCAAGATAAAAATGCAGTTTGGTAGAATTCTGTTAAGTCGACAGACGACAATAGGGTCACCTGACATGTGTGGCTTAAAGTAGATAACGTTTTACATCCCATCCTTATGATTTACACCCAATCCTTTTAATAAAAAGAATTAAATGCACTTAAAAAGGATATAATGTATCACATGATTCATGTACTTCATGCTAATTTTTTTATCTTAAATTTATGTAATGTAATAATTTTAACATTATGTCCGAAAGGTAAGTACAATATCTTAACTTACTTTAGCATCGAATCGTTATATGATACCATAATTAAAATATGTACAAAGCATTGACAATGCATAAAAAATTAAAGATGTTATTTTATCCAAATAAACAGATATTTGAATATTTGAATACATGTTGCTCAAAATATATATTAATAAAAAAAATTGTTATCATCGGTTTGGACAACTAATTGTCAATGAATAAATATTTAAATAGGTATTGCCCAAAATATATTAATAAATTTAAATAGAAAAATATTTTTATATTTCATATGATTCGGACATGTTAACTTTCTCAAAATGAAACACAAACATCAACTTTAACACGAATGCACATCCACATAGCATCAATTATAGATTAATATCGATAAAAAGAGACCTTAATTGCCTTCAAAAGTCAATTTTGTGTTTAACAAAATAGTAAATATTATTTATTGATTTATAGTTTTGATGCCAAATTTGCTTTTACCATTGCATCTTTTGACATCACCGTTACCTTTCTTAAAATTGAAGTAAATGTATATCAACATAATATCTAAAATCTAGAATCAAAATAAAACAAGACAATAATATTAGGGAAAATGACAAAAATTCCCTACAAAGTTTCTAGGGTTGGTCGAATGAGTTCCTAAAATTTTTGTCGGATTCTATGGATCCCTAAAATAGGATATGACTTGCTTTTTTAGTCCCTGTCAACCTGTAATAATCGGTTTAGTGACCATTTATACCAAAAATACTTACATTGTTGTGCCCCTATAAAACCAAAAAAATAAGTTTGGGGATCAAATAAAGTCTCACCTTAATTACTTGCTTCATATTCTTCTTTGATTTGCAAAATTCTCAAATTAGTTGCTATGTTCTCGTCTAAAATATTCGAAAGTAATACGTCTGCACTGATCATTTTGTTGGTTATCTGTATGGAACGCCATTGCTGAAAAGCTTCAAAGTAGATCAGATCTTGTTTCATTACTTTAGTTACGATCCTCCTCTCACTGGTTAACCTTTCTGAAAATTTCAACTTATTTGCTACGTATTAATTCTAAAGTTAGTATTCGTTTCATGTACTTTCTTTTGATGAATTTCTCCTTTTTCTTAATGAAGTAGAAGATATATATATATATATATATATATATATATATATATATATATATACACACACACACACACACACATAAAACATCATTGTTTGCTTTCGTAATCAAAAGAATTAATTACATAGTTTTATTCGTTTACTGTATTTTTCGTTAGATGATCTTTGCTTCTTTGTTATGGATTGTATATCTTAGTACGTAATTAATTAATTAATTAATAATATGAATTGTATCATTTTCACACAGACAAAAGTTGTAGGTTAGGATTGTAATGCCCTGATTCTCAGGTATGGGTTAAAATGAAAGCTATTTGGTTTCAAGACCTACTCGACAAGTCTGTTGCCCTACTCGTCGAGTAGCAGCGAGGTGGGATTGCGTATTTAGTGGCCTACTCACTGAGTCCATAAAGGGACTCGATGAGTAGGAGCTGGCAGATGAAACCCTAAATCCCGGGGTTTTGCACCCTATTTAAGGAAGCATAAGCCTCCTTTGGCCTCTTTGCAGTCCATTGAGAACTCATAAAACCCTAATTCGTTGGTGTTTCATCCTTGTGTGTCTAAAGCTTTGGAGAGGAGATCTTTTGAGAAGAAGAGCTTGGATGACAAAAGGCTAGGGGCAAGGAGGTATGGGAAATCAAGAATCTACCTCAGATAGCATCATTTGGAGGTATCAATTCGTCACCTTTACTTCATTCTTCTTCTAGACATCTTTTGGTTGAGATCTAGGGTTTTTATGATTTGGTTGAGATGACAATGTGGGATATGAACTAGATCTGAAGTTGTAACTTCATATCTGGACCCTTCTTGGGTTCTAGAGTCATAAAGCCCCGAATGTGGTCATGTATGAAGCCTCTTTGAAGTATGAAACCCCATGGTGAGCTTGGATTTGACATTTGGAGCCTTTGTAGCTATGCATGCACGTAAAGTTTGCAACTTTACTTTACAACTTTACATGAAAAGCATGCCTTAGAAGCTTGGATATGTAATTTGGAGCCACTGCATGGCTTAAAAGAGTCTGTATGGCTTAAGGACCGAAGGAACTCGGCGAGTCGCAAGGTTGACTCGGCGAGTCTCATGAAGATGAGCCTGGACCCGACGAGTTGGATGAACAACTTGGCAAGTCTGATGAAGATTGTTGTAGACTCGAAGAGTTGGATGAACAACTCGACGAGTCGGATGAGTTTTCCCCAATTTATGTATGCGTGTGTAACCGTCGACTTGCAAGAAGGAAAACTCGCCGAGTGGCCTTAGAGTTCGATCGTAAACCAAAGGAACTCGACGAGTCACTCCGTGACTCGGCGAGTTAAGGTCAACATGGACTGTTGCCCTTGACTAATGACTTTGATTTTAACCAGGGTTTGATTAGTTGACTGTTGGGGTACCTTGGAAGGTTGGGAACTTATGAGTATGATTATGCTATGGTATCAGGTGGTGGAGTTTTGGGCGATGATCCGAGGGTTGAAGTTTATCTACCAAGTTGACATCTGCAAGGTGAGTTATCCTCACTATATCAATAGGGTCTAAGGCACCAAGGCCGACCCTTTAGTTGTTATTGTTATGGTATGTTACCTATGGTTATGATCTGTTAGATCAGAATCAGGATAGACAGTATGTTATGCTCTTATGATCCGTAGGGATTGGTATGATAGTAACCTGCTAGGTCGATGCTCTAGTTATAAGAGATTGCTATGATTGATGATCAGTGAGATGGATATGTATGTGTTTATATATTCCAGTATATGCTAGTTATGAGCACATGGTTATCTGCTTGTTGTTTGGGTTGAGGCGGTTCTGCTTTATGCTGAAGGACAACACACCCTATGAGCGGTATGGGTAGATTGTAGGCCCACGTAGCGGTCCAGTTATATCGAAGACTCGGGACAGATTCAGATAGACTGTAGGCCCTGTAAGGGTCCAGTCAGGCCGATGGCCCAGTATGCATGTTGTTGATTGTCTGTTATTGATATGGTATTATCGGTGTGGTATTGGTATTTTAGGGGTAGCTCACTAAGTCATTGGGCTTACAATTTCAATTTATTGTTTCAGGTACTTCAGGAGATCATGGCAAGGTGAAGGCGTGACCGTATCATTCCTCATCCTTTTGATCTAGTTATTGAGTCACTCCGATGAATAATGATTTGAAAATATTTTGTAAACAAATACTATTTGGTTTTTATCTATGATTAAAAAAGTTTAAATTTAGCATAAAATATTTAGATGTTACAAAGATGGTTCAACCAACTGGATCCAAAGATCAACCGAACGTCGTTCACGAAGTAGGAAAAGGAATGGATTCTATCTTATCATCGTGATTTTTAAAACGATGACCTAACATCGCCAAGCTTTTCCTTGGTTAAACTGATAATACTATGAAGAACCATTAGCACGTCATCATGGCTCAAAGGCTTAGAGAAAAATCAACCAGGATGCATGGCCTTCTGAGAACCAATAATGTTGTTACTCATTAACATCATGCGTTTACGGAGAGATATCAATACACTTATTTCCCTTGTGAGCTTTCAAGAAATCTTGCATCACATCTACAACTCTCCATGAATCTGTTTCATCAGTTCAAAAAAATGAGGGAATACCAACTAACCTAGAGTTTGTATTGTCTGTTTTGACATGATTGGATTAGATTACGACGATGTCATTTGCACGTCTACCAGTTCCGTTCAATTCAGTCCAGCAAACATATATTATCATCTTCCTACTGCTAAGCAAACATACAAATTAAGCACATTGTTATCAATTTGTTATTATTTTAATTTTGATTATTTTTTATTATTAATTGATTATCGGGCTTTAGATAAACAAGATCAACGGGTGAAGTTTTACAATTTTCTCCCTGTAAATATGGACACTAATGGGAGTGAAGTGATCGACCACGCAAAAAAATACCAATTTCTGCAAAGGAGAGATTGCATTTGATCCCCAAACTTATTTTTTTGGCTTTATAGGGACACAATATAAGGTTTTTTTTTTTTTTTTTTTTGTCTAAATGGTCACTAAACCGGCTATTACAAGTTGGCAGTAACTAAAAGAGCATGTCATATCTTAGTTTAGGGACCTATAAAGCCCGATAAAAACCTTAGGGACTGAATCGACCAACCCTATAAACTTTGTAGGGTATTTTTGTCATTTTCTCATAATATTATTTTGATAAAAATAAACCCAATATAAAAAAAAAATTGATATAAAACAGGACCCAACAATCTTGGAGTTCACGGGAACTATAGGGACCACTTTCCTTGCACTTCTTATTCTCTAAGATTTTCAAGAATTATTTCTATTTCCGAAAAAATAAATTAAAAATAAAATTCTTTAATTGCCTTTTTTTTTAACTTTTATGCAATGTTAGCCGTTACGTCATTAATCTTAAACGTTTATTACATAAAATTAAAATCAATTTAAAAAGTAAACAGTAAATATTACCTTCCCAACAGAGCTTCACATCCAAAACGAATATTAGAAGCTCAAGAACGCAAGCTTTTTTCTCTGCTCCACAAATTTTCGATGTTCTTCAAAGATCACATTTTATCTCATCCCAGATAAGTTTTTCTAGCTCCATTCATTTCCTTTGATGTTTCTCAAATTTCCCATTAACTCATTTAGATTAATATCGATTTTCAAGAGAGATTTTGACTGGTAGTTGCGTACGAATCATCACCGCTCCCATTAGATTTTTATTTTTTTTTCCCTTTTCTTTTCATATTTCAATCTCACAAGCAACAATAGTGCAGTTTTTGATAGAAAAAAGCAAGTTGGGATTTTTAGTTTTGGTTTACGACTTTACGTACAAGTTTGGTCTAAGCTATTAGAATCTTAACTTTCACACAGTGAGGGTGTTCTGCGTGAAATAATCTTGTGGGTTTGAAGATATATAATTCAAGGAAAGGGGATCGTTTTGGTTTGTTGTGAGTTTATGTGTGAAAATTTCTTGTGGGTTTGGAGATACGTAATTTCTATCTTGAAAAAGCCAAAGGATTTCAAGAAACAAGCTTTTTCAGTTCTTGAAGTTTCTTACACACAGTGAAGGTGTTTCTGTGTGAGATTTCATTGTGAATTTGGAGATACAATAATCCAAGGTAGATGGGTCTTTTGGGTTTGTTACTAGTCGATTAATTGATGTTTAGGATTTGAATTAAGATCTATAACATTACTTTGTCTTGATTCTTGAAAAACCCTACGATTTTCAAGAAACTTCATCTTTTTGGTTGTTTATGTCTTGAGCTAGTTTTGTCATTAGTTCAACAATGGGTAAAAAGTCAGGAAAAAATAAATACGATAATGACACCATCATTTTCATTTCCATGGCACAAGAACACAAAGAAGAGGGAAACAAATTATTTCAAAAGAAAGATTACGAAGGTGCCATATCAATTTACCAAAAAGCCCTCAAATTGCTTCCCAAAAACCACATAACAGTCTCTTATCTCCAAACCAACATTGCATCATGTTACATGCAAATGGGTATTACCGAATTCCCGAAGGCTATTCATGAGTGTAATTTAGCCCTTGAAGTTACACCGAAATATAGTAAAGCACTTTTGAAACGAGCTAGGTGTTATGAGGCTTTAGATAGACTCGATTTGGCTTTAAAAGATGTTAATCTTGTATTAAATATGGAACCAAAGAACATCATGGCAATTGAGATTGCCCATAGAGTGAAATCACTTATAGAGCCAAAAAATCTCATTGTCAATGAAGAAGAAAAAAGTGAAAAACTTGAGCATATGGATGAAAAAGTGGACAAGATTGAAGTGAAAGAAACTAAAGATAAGTTGGTTGTTGTGGATGAAAAAGATTCAAAAAATCTCATGGTGAGTGAAGAAAAAAGTGAAAAACTTGAGCATATGGATGAAAAAGAAGTGAGTGAAGAAAAAAGTGAAAAACTTGAGCATATGGATGAAAAAGAAGTGAGTGAAGAAAAAAGTGAAAAGCTTGAGCAAATGGATGAAAAAGAAGACAAGATTGAGGAGAAAGAAACCGAAGATAAGTTGGTTGTGGATGAAAAAATAAGGAAATTTAGCAAAGAAAATAACAAGCCAAAAAGGAGTATAAAATTGGTCTATGGGGACGATATAAGATGGGCAAAAATTCCAATTAATTGCGATGTTTTGGAATTAAGAGAAATTATATTCGAACGATTTCCACTTTCACGAGCTGTTTTAATAAAATATCAAGATCAAGAGGGCGATATGGTCACAATTACCACAAACGAAGAATTAAGATGGGCGGAATCACTTTCGGATCAAACTTCGGTCAAACTTCACATCATAGAAGTCAACCCGGAGCAAGATCCATTTTTCGACCATTTTAGAAGGCAAGAAAAGAAGAAAAAGCTTTTAAATTCAAAATCTTGTATCGATGATTGGATTCTAGAATTTTCAGAGGTTTTCAAGAACTATGTCGGGTTTAATTCGGATTCTTATTTGGATCTTCATGAAATTGGTATGAAGTTGTACATGGAAGCTATGGAGGATGCGTTAACAAGTGAAGAATCTCAAGAACTTTTTAATAAAGCAGCCGATAAGTTTCAAGAAATGGCAGCTTTGGCTTTGTTTAATTGTGGAAATGTGTATATGTCAAAAGCGAGAAAAAGGGTTTTTGAAGAATCAAAAAAAGATTTATACGAATGGGCACAAAATGAGTATTCAAAAGCTGGTGAGATGTATGAAAAGGCAATCAAAGTGAAGCCTGATTTTTATGAAGGTTTTTTGGCTTTAGGACATGAGGAATTTGAGAAGGCGAAAATACGTTGGTATTATGAGATTGAGAAAAATGATGATATTCAAAAGTGGGATTCGAATGAGGTTACTGAACTTTATAATAAAGCGGAAGGAAATATGGAAAAGGGAATGGGAATGTGGGAGGAAGGTGATAAAAAAGAAGGTGGAAATATGAGGTCTTTGATAAATGTTTTGTGGGGTACTATGCTTTATGAAAGATCAAGTATGGAGTATAAATTAGGGCTTGATTTTTGGCATGAATGTTTGGAGATTGCTGTTGAAAAATTTGAAGTTGCGGGTGTTTCTCATACGGATATCGCTGTTATGATAAAGAATCATTGTTCTAATGTTGATGCACCACAAGGTATTTTGGTTCCTTATTTTTTTTGAAAATTTTACGTTAATTCGAAGTAAAAAAAAAAGTACAAAAATCCTATCCATATTTGTCGGAATCAATTAGTTGACAATATGGTGGAACTTGGTTGAATATTAAAAGGGCAAAATGGTGATTTAGTCATATTTAGACACTCCAACAAAGAAACAGTCTTTGTGTATAACACCTCGTTTTCCACAATAATTGTTGTACGGATCAATGTTGTTTGTTGGATGCACAAAGATTGTTTATTTTTTTGGACCGTATGGATTTTTTAGATATGGGAAATGACCATTTTACCCTTTTATTTGACTTAACGCATAAAGAATGATTTAATAGATAAAATCAGAGAAACGAGACTTCCCATATTAAGTCCTAACTTTTTACAAAATTGAAATCACTCTCATATCTTTTCCTTCCATTTTTCCAAGTGTGTTGTCATTTTTCCATTTGTTTTTTAAACATCATTTATCCAAACAACACCTAATGGAAAAAAAAAACATGAATTTTATGTCTCTTATAGACCACCATTTTGGACGTTTTTCAAAATATGGAACCAATCAAGTCATATGGACCCCTTTTTGTTTGAATTTTGCTTATATTCTTCTAACTTTAAGAAATCTTGGAAGCAAGTTTTGATCTTAAATTCTTATGTTGTTTAGGTTTAGGTTTTGATATTGATGAGATAGTACAAGCATGGCATGAAATGTATGAAGTGAAAAGATGGCAAAGTGGTGTTCCTTCTTTTAGATTAGAACCATTGCTTCGAAGACGAGTTTCTAAGTTGTTTTACGCCTCTGAACATGCACAATGAGTGCCATTTCAAGATCCGGTTATTACACGCAAAAGGAAAACGGGTGCTTCTTGTTCCACGTCCAACTACTTGGTAATTCTTCTATCTAAAATTACTTTCTTGCCCATTTTAATTGTGATAGAGAATTGGACATACTTATTTGGATCCACAAGATTCCCATGGTTTGTTGTTGTTGAAGGGTATTTAGGACATTTGCTTGTAGTCAACCATTTTTTTCATTGTTACTACCTATGTCTCACGAAAATTTTCAACAATTTTCATTAGGAGTTGTCTTGTATTGATCATAAAATCTCATTTTTGGCAAAACCCCCTTTCTCATCAAAGGGTATTTTCGACATTAACTAATGGTCCAATGATAAATGCCTTATAACATGTCTTTGTACATAATTTTCGTGTGTCAAAAATCCAACATCCTCTTATTCATGTGCACATGTTCTGTTCTTGATTCTTGATTTTCTTGTGAAATGACAATTCTACTCTTAATGATCTTTTTTAACAACTTAATAAATATTTAAAAATACATTCAAAATGAACGTATAACACTTTTTTTTTTTTCACTATGAATCATAATTTATTTAAATCAAAGAATATTTTGACTTAATTTATGAATTTAATTCAAGTTCAACTATTAAATGATTTTTTCTATTTCTGTTTGTCTACCAAACATGATACTGGAAGGTAATGGTTCATTCCATTCTCTTACTCATTCCATTCCACCCATTTTACCATTATCATCATGACAGGCCATTTTTAGGGGCATTTAGACATTTAACAACAGAATCTTACGACCTCCGCATTTTTAAGTTCCTAGTAACATGTCTTTGTTTTTATAATGTTTGCTTGATAGAGTCCTTTAGCATCTTATGCACGCACATTACCATTTTTCTGTGTACTTATTTCTTCATGTGCTTGTGACAATGACAATTATACCCTTACTTCCATGTTATCTTGTGCCCATATTACAGTTTTTCACATGGTGTCCTGATTTCTTGGTTTTGTTGTAAAATGACGATTAAACCCTTAACATTCTTAACCTTTCTCCTGAGCTAGAAACTGATAGATCTCTTCTGCAGGGTACTATTGTGTTGCAGGTGAGTTGTAATTATCACGATAAAAGATAGTAGATAACACGGAGGGTAGTTACGTAAACTGGTGAAAAATACTTTCATTTTTTCGTGTATTTGTTTTGAAGGTCATATAGAGTTATTTTTGTTGTTTTGGCTTGCAAGTTTTATTCATTTGGTGTGTACTCTTAATTATGTAACCAATGTTGATTTGGTAGAAAGCGATTTTGGATTTTCTACACAATGCCTTAACTTGTACTTTCTTTGTTACTATTTCCTATTATCATTAAAGAAATATGATCTTTGTTACATATTGTTATTATATCAGTAAAAAAATATATAAGTATATTGCTATATGTTTAAAGAATTGTATGTATGTTGCTATTATGTGTAAATAAAATATAAGCACATTGCTATATAATGAGTTCCAAATTGCTATATTGATTAAAAAAAAAAAAAAAGTAAAGTAAATTGCTATTTCATGCTAATAATTAGTTAACCTTAAACAAAAATATATTCCTTTTTCTTGCTTAGGAAAAGTCATATCCACTAAAAACTTCTATTGTTGCTTGATTAAAAAATCGATGTATACAAAATATTTCAATGTATAACTTCCACTCAACTCTAGAAAAAATGATTTACCATTTTACCCCTGATCTGTGTACCATATAAACAAGCATGTGGTACAACATATCTTAATTGAAGACCATTATAGAGGAAAAAGAGCATATATAATCATAACGCCACCCTAGATCGCGAACCTCGACCTAACCCTAACCCTAACCCTAAAGGCACCGACTCCGTTTTCGGCTTACCATGGCTACAACCGGGAGAATGAACATGGTGGCCGTTTCCGTTCGTTTGATGAGAATAACCACCACCACCACTACCGGCGGCAGCAGCCGCCGCCGCGGCGGAAGCAATAGGGCCTCCGTTTTGTAAGTTTAGGGCTAGACTCGAAGCAGTCATCGGCATCATGTTGATGCCGTCGAATTGATCGGCGGCGGCGGAGGAGGAGGGTTCTTCTGCGACCTCGATGTCTTCGTTGTAACCGTTTATTAAGAAATCGGAGCAGTTTTTCTTGCAGCCGTGATCGTATGGGTTTCTGAATCGACCTCCGTTTCCTCTTAAGTAGTTGTATCGCATCATGTTTGCCATTTCGTTTGTTGTGATATTTCGACCCACCTTTCACCAATTAAAAAAATAAATTGATTCTATAATAATATAATATAATTTAATAAATGGAAAAAAAGGAAAAAAGAAATACCTGAGAAATTTGCATACAAGTTAAAGCTGCGACACCAATCAAGAGTGAAAAATCTGAAAGTAGAAATAATAGAACACCAAGATGTTGATTACCAACATGTTGCAACCACCCCCCAAAAGAAGATGGAGCCAATGGATCCTTCACAATTCCTACATCAAAATCAATACTATTATTAATAAATGTAAAAAAAAATAGTAATCTACTTTTTTTTTTTATTATTATTAATAAACAAATAAATGAAGAGAGAAACCATACTTGTAAGTGCAACTGTGCCGGTTATCAACATGGCAAAAACTTCGAGAACAAGAAAAACCAAAAAATCCCATTTGTTTTTCTGAAATTAAAAAAAAAATGGTGAATGGAAGGAGACAAATGATAAAATTTTATAATTTTTTATAATAAAAAAAAATTACAAACCTTTCCGACGCAATTGGATACCCAAGGGCAGTGATGGTCAAATTGTTCCACACATCGCTCACATGTTGAACAATGCTTTGCTCGAAGAGGTCGAACAATCTAATTTATCAAAATTCATAAATAAAATAAAATTAAAAAAAAAAAAAAAAAAAAAAAAAAAAAAAGGAGAAACATTTGGGATGTAGTATCATGTATGATATTACCTTACAAGTCGCACAGAGTTGATTCCAATTGCCAGCTAGCAAAGCCGGGTCCCGCACCTCAAGCTTAAGTAAAGGCTCCTACTCAATACAAACAAAAAAAATATGAATTTATAAATTGATGAAAAGTAAAATTCATTTCTATTTTATGCAATTCATTGAGAGAAAAAAAAAATTATGTTTATAACACAAGCTTACATCATCTCTTGTATCTTTGGATTCATTCCTGTTGGCTTTAATGTAACCTGGATCTTTGCTACAAAAACCACAAAGGACACCAACATCATTAACATGTCATTTTTTATAAAATATTGAAGTTGATATTGTAAAATTGAAGAGTAAAAATAAAAATAAAATAAGTTTACCAGCTACAGCGATAGAAAAGAATTAATCCTGCACTTGCTAATATGACACCAATCCATGCAAAAAATGCAGAACCAGCTGTTAATTTTGGTAAATTTGAAGCTGCACATGAGAAGAATTAGGAAATACAATTATTAGATGATAAATATGTATTAATTTATTTGAGAGGTTTGAAAAATATAAATACCCATGATGACTGAATTGATATAGGTCAAAAGTAGCACAAATATTACACACAGAAGTGCTGGTGCTAGCCCTAGTTTTGTTAGTTTTCCAAATGTACCCTCGTAACGTTTTTCAAGCAACTTCCTAGCATTACCCTGGAGAATATATATAATATATAATAAGGTGATTGATAAAATAAAAATAAAAATAAATAAATAAATAAATAAGAAGGAAAACGACATATTACGTAAAAGAGCACTAAGAAGGGTCATTAATTTAGATGACTTAAAACAGTGGAAAACATAATAAATATTTTGAGCTACACAATTACTTTTCTAAATGTTTTTAGCAAATAAAAACCTATTATTTTGCAAAATTATCAATATTTATTGAGAATATGAAGAAACCACTGGAGTTGCTTTATAAATGGTGCCTACGTTCATTTTCTATTTATTTCGCTAAATAATAGTTATTTTTCCAAAAAAAAAAAAGGGGGGGGGGGGGGGGGTAATCTCATAAAAAAACTTATATTTTGTGTTTTTTCCGGCAAAAAATCCGAGGTATTTTTCAGGCAAAAAATAAAGTTGAGGTTTAATCCGAAAAACACACAAAATATAAGGTCTTTTATGAAACTAACCCCAAAAAAATCACAAAAAGCATTCATATTTTGCGAAAAATACCTATTATTCAGCGAAATAATTAGAAAATGACTATGTTGTGATAGTTTCCCAAAAAAGTGGTTATTTCATGTTCTGAGTTCTAACACCTCTCATTTTGGTGATTTTAATGATAAAATAAACCCTCTTATCTTCTTTGTCCAATTACTAAATCTTTAATCCTAGACAATATGTTCTTCCTAATTCAGCCTATTAAAAGTGTCCAAAAAATGGAAGTATTACTAGTAAAGAAAGAGGAGAAGAATTTCAGCAAGACATACATATATATTTATTTATTTATTTACAGGTATTGATATTATTATTATTAAGGAGTACCTACAAGGAAAAATGCAACTTGTATATGATTTTTATCAGAAGCAAGTTGTGCAGGTGTAAGTCCAGTATTATCAGTCACCATTAAATCATCTTTCTTTCCTGCTTGCACTAATACTGTGCATGCTTCTAAGTGTCCCCTGATTGCAGCCCAATGTAGAGGTGTACAACCTAAAATTGCAGAATGTAACTGTAAGCAACTATCTCACATACAAAAATGATGGATCAAAAGTCTTTAAAATACAATACCTTCTTTGTCTGGACGCCCTCTATATGCATCCAGAAAGAGAAGAAGACGTATACTATCTGCAAAACCTTTATATGCAGCCCTACAAAACAAACTCTTGAATTAAGGGACAATATAGAGTTGGAGTTTATAGTAGAATGAAGAGATTCAACTACCAATGTAAAGGGCTTCTTCCTTCTTTATCAGGAATATCTGGATCTGCATTCCATTTTGTGACCATGTGATACAGATAAGCTGTTTGACCATACTGTGCAGCAACATGAGTGGCCTGTAACAAATTCAAAATAGATAAGGAGATAGAATCTTTGTTGACAATGCCCTAAATTGAATCCATACAAACCTGATATCCAAATACATCAGCTGCATTAACACGAGCACCTTCTTCAAGCAAAAGATCTGCAATCTGAATGGCTCCCCTAACAGCACTCCAATGCAATGCTGTTTGACCACTGACATCCACTGCATTCACATCTGCACCATGCTGAAAGTTTCGTTCAAATGAAGTTAATACCACATAAACAGAAAGATGGAAAAGAATACTATAATATGTGAATAGAATGAAGGAGAAGCAGTTGAATGACAACTCTTTGGCATCAATAAAGAGAGTGATCAATGGATTGATCACTATTTACAACAATTTGTATTTTGTAATTGATATCGTGTATGTGACTGATAATATTAGCTTAAGCTTCTTTTACTGATATCCTTTTTGGATCACTCTGTCCAGTAAAGGTAAAGTGGAGGATTGCTGAGATAAAACTGATCACGAGTGTATATACTACATAACTTGTAGTATTGTATACATCTTCATAAGCGAAGATAGAAACAGAGGAAAAGAGGGAAAACCTCGACGATGTATTGAGCAGCGGCGACACGATTGTTAAGGGCGGCCCACTGCAAAGCGCGATATCCCTGATCATCAGGCTTGTTAATGGAGCAACCTTCTGTCTCGACCAAATTTCGAAGCTTCTCCAAATCACCATACGCTGCAGCAGTGTAAATGTCATTCTTCAAGCTTTCCTCTGGCACTCCCACTCCTCCCTCGGCCGCTCCGTTGCCATTTCCGGCAGCAGTAGGATCTGTATTTTCTTCGACCTCGATCTCTGATGACATGCCGATTTAGAGGTAAAAAATTAATACGTCAAATGAAATGTAATAGATCAAAGGGGATTCTTGAACAATAAATTAGAGTATTCATGCGAATTAGGGTTTTTCCGGAGAGAGAGAGAGAGATAGGCGTCGGTGTTGACTCGGTAATGATGCGACGGCTTTCTGATGTCCGGTAAACAGAAGATTACAACAGAAACAACCGAATCAAAACACATCACTCCTTGTAATATTTCCAAGAATTCCGAAATAAATATATTTCCTAATGTACGAAAAGAATATTAAGTTAGACTATAAAATTAGAGTGCTACATGTATTTTTGTAATTTTTGGTGGGTTAATGCCCAAAAATGATTTTCTTTTCATTATTTTTTTACTAAAGGATTTGATTTTGGATTTAATCCCATTAGTAGTGTTATAACATCAATAGCAACGTCATCAACCAGGGATACGCAGCTCCGTGTAATTTTTGGTCGAAACTGAATCGAAAACTAAAATTTTCATTATTTAAAGTTTAGAAACTACACGGTTCAGTTTTTAAACCGAAGTTAGAATCTTTGGTTTTCTTTTACAAAAATGGTCCATTGACAGTCAACTGTTCTTATCAACATAAATGATCCCCGAACAAAATTTAGTATCTTTATCTTATTTTAAATAAACGGACATCACCGAACATCTTTGTCACCCCAAGCCTAGGACTGTAAATTTATGTAAATGTATCGATTTGGCTAATGTTACATAGTATGCCTCAGATTAAGTAGGTAACATGTCTACATAGACATAACATACCATGTATGCAATTCTAATCTAGCCTGATCCATATGGCGTTTACATGACATCTACATGGATTTAAAAAAATATTTTTTAATTTAGTTTATCTTTGTGTTCTTCTATTATAGCATTGTATTTTGAAAATTTTACCTAATTATAGCAGAGAAAATTACTTTGAATATGGATTTAATCTTTTATGATTAGATAAAAATTTATAAGTACAATGTTGTAATAGAAGAACACAAAGATGAATTAAATTAAAAAATAATTTTTTAAATTCATGTGGACGACTAATCAGCATCATATGGATGAAGCCAGGGGAGACTCAATCAATTTGGAGACTCTAAGCAAATAAAAAAATCATGTCCTTCAAGTAAGCAATCAGTTTTGAACTTGAGACTTTTAGTTTTATAAATCAATGCTTTTACCACCAAACCAAGCTTCGAATTGTCTTTGTAACCCAAGATGAAGCTGGATTCAAATTGCATATATGGTATATCCGAATTTTTTAAATCCACGTGGACATAATGCTATAATAAACAAATAAATAAAAGTAGAATGTGTATACCTTTCTAGACTTGTTATCTTTGTTTTCAAATTCAATACTTGTTAGCTTTGTTTTCGGATTCAACTTATGCATATCATTTTTACTTCTCAAGATTCTATGATATTGATTAACATTCGCATACTTTAGAATAATAATAATCAATACTAAAATAAGATTTCATTTGATAAAAACTTTAAAACCACTTCTTTGTAGTTATATATTAATAACATGAATTCTAATATTCACTTCGTGAGCTCTATGCGTCATTGTGTTCATCATGGCCACTTGCCCTGGAAGACGTCCATTATCTGTTTACCTCGTGAGTCACTAATGCTCACCTCGTGAACTGGGCTCACCTCGTGAACTACATATGTTCACCTCGTGAGTTATGATAGTTTTAGGGCTTCACTCCCCGAACTTCAGAAATTCATAACTTTCGCATACAAACTCCGTTTTCGATGTTCTTTATATCCACGCGTAGGTGAGATTATGCTCTACAACTCGCGTTTAGACTTCGGTGGCAATATATTATAAATATATTATTTTTAGTAGGCCGGGACAGAAGAACTCCGTTATAAATTCATAACTTCTTCATCCGACGTCCGTTTTCATCTGTCTTTTTACCGTTGCACTACCATTGACGAGATCTTTAATTCTCGTTTAGATTGTTTCGGCTAAAAACCGCTCGATCTCAAAGTCGAACTTCGGGTTGCATACTGCTAAGCTGAAACTTAGAAATATCATAAAACTTCTTCATACGAAGTCAGATTTGGGCGTTCTTTTTACGCACGCTCTCGGTTTAACGTATACTACGACTTTCATTTAGATCATTAAGGCACCAGTTCTGTTGCGAAACTTCGACATGCCATAACTTTTTCGTTATAACTCGGATTTCGGCGTTCTTTATATGTACAGAATCCTTGTAACATATACTACAACTTAGTTAAGATTAATCCTTTTAGATAATCTTCTATCAAAAAGTCATTTTTGATGCTTATCGTCTCTAAATTGACTAGCCCTGATCTATGGGCGTTATAGTAAGTCTCCTCACCGTAATTATGGGTCAAAGGCACCAATGTCGGCCCACTAAATTATGTTGTAGGATGATAATTATCGTTGTGAAACTTGTTGATATGTCCATATGTGCTTGTTGTCTTTGTGACTCTTGCTAGTATGACTGTATGCTTATATATAGAGGTGAAATAGACTCATAACAGTCGAAAGATACCGAATGAGTTGGAAGAGACTCAGAGAGTCGGTAGGGACTCATGGAGTCGGAAGGGACTCAAAGAGTTGGAAGGGACTCACGGATGAAATAGACTCGTTACAGCTTAGGGCTGATATGTATGTATGATGTTTACACATGATATGTATGTATGGTATGTTGTATTTTGGGGAACTATTACCGTGTCAAACCCAACAAATAAAGGGGTACAAATGACTCCAAAAACAGTACTACTTTGCACTAAAAAGGTAATACAAGGTAAGTAGGTTCAATCCTCAGAGACACGGAACAAATGATTATACCTTTTTGTGTAAGATATAAAAAATGGTCACAAAATTGGGGGAATTTATAAGCAATGATTTAAACAATATAATAAAGCAATAAGTAAATGATTGATTAAATGAAGTAGATTCAAGGTTTGTAAGGACTCCAACTCCATGCAAAACAAATTAGCAATGTGATTCCAAGGATGAAATCATATTTGTTCAATTCTATCTAAATTGGTACTTGGAAATGCTAACAAGGTCTAGCACCTCCCATTCACCACATTGATTAACCAAAATAAGCTCTTTGATTAATCCTAACCTTACCAATCTTATCTAAACAAGCTCTTAGAATTAGGTTGAAATATTGCATTAAACTTTATATGAATGTTCCCAACAACACTCAATACTCCTCATAAGCTCGGGAGCATAAGAATGTGTGAATAAAATTTACACTAAATTCATTCAATAGAAATCAGTTTAGTGTTTGTTACCTAGTCCAATTTACAAAAGAATTACGGATTTTGCAATTAGATAATTTGAATGATCTAACCCTAATTCAAATGGCCAATAAGAATCACAATTAGAATCAAATATTTGATTAAAACAAAATCAAATTCACTAGATAGAAAATTGAAAGCAAACATCAAGTCATATGATTGAAATCACAACTAGAAGTCAAGACATAAAGTTGGAGAATTTAGGGTTCTAGTCACTCATGACTAGAACAAGATCACAAATCTAGAAAATGAAATTAAATTTCTTACAAAATGAAATCAAATGTTCCCAAGTGTTAATTAACTCCAAAATCCTCCAGAAAATCGCTTTCTCTGCTCCTAAAATCGACTCCCCTTAAAAAAAAAAAAAGCGGTTCCCCCCTTTAAGAATGGTGAAAACTGCTTTAAAACCCGTATTTACGTTTACACGGCCCGTATAAATTAACATTGTCGTTTACGCGCCCGCATAAACGCAAAAATACAATGTGCAGAAATCTACGTTTACACGGGCGTGTAAACGCTAGGCTTCCATTTACACGGCCGTGTAAATCTCGGTAAAGCCAAAATCTCCATTTCTTTGATATATTGCTCCTCGGTGCTCCGCAAGTCCTGAAATTTTGTCCGCAACTCTTATTTACCTCCTCCAACAATATCCTACCTCCAAAAGTCCCTGGAATATCACAAAAATGTGTGAATGAAATTGCCTTATGAAAAATCCCGAAAAACATGCAAAATGAGTTTAAACCTAAATGCAATGCACTTTTATGGAGTAAACTACAAAATGGATGCATGAAATGCATCTAACAGGAACACACTAAGCTTTGTGCTTACGGTTTGTGTTTAAATGTTTTTTCAGGTACTTTTGGTTCAAAAGGAAGGATCCAGCTTGATCGCATCACACCCACCATTAATTAGCTTTGATGATTTTGGAATTGTACTCTGTTAATTGTTTTCACACTGATATGTTTTCGATGGTTTGAAAAGAACTTATGATGGTTTTGGTTGACTTAAAAACAAAAAAGTTTTACTTAGTATTTTTGGGTTGTTACATGTCCAATAGCCAATTATATTCAAGCCTAAGAAATGTGTAGCTCATATTTTACAGTCAGACGTTCAGATTCTCTCTCTTTATGGTTGAAGAATGAAACAATTTTGTAATTGATGTTTTCTTTAGTTTTTTTTATCATGTATGCTCTTATTTGCTAGTTATGTGTATGTTTTTTTGGTCATTTTCCCCGAAAATCAGAAAACTTATATGAAACAAAAAACGAAACCGAACCTGAGATGAGAAGAAACCGTAGATGGCCGAAATGTTATATGTGATTTCACCTTGTTTCTCTAAATTACTTTTTTTTTTTATATCTGCTACTAAAACTAAAGACATGCCACGAGACCGTAGTTCGTATGATGAAACTGAAGTCATGTCTCCCCTAAAACCGTGAAATTGAAACCGGATAGATGTAACTGCAGATAAAGAAGCTTCATCTGCGGTTTTAATGACTATTTTAAAAAAAAACCCTAAATTTTAACTATTTTTGTAAAGTAAGTAATAAAATGGATGTATTTGTAATTCTTTGTTATTTTTATATGACAAAATTCATTTAAAAAAAATTATACATGGTTATTGCCTCAAATCACAACCCATAACTCTCGATAACACTTCATCTGCAACTTTGAGTCATTTTTTGTTTTGTTTTTTTTTTTTTTTTTTGCTAAATCTTGAAAATAGTTAGAAAATTAATCTAAATTTTTTTCTTCTTACTAAAATTATTAACAGTTAACCCCGATTTATATGAATGAATTATAAAGTTTTTAGTCAAAGTCAAAATTACCATTATGAGAAAATCAACTCCTTTGCTTGTAGACAAAACCCTAGCCCCTTTCCTGATTCAAACAAACAAAAACATCTTTTGCTCCGACACCCCCCGAAGTTTCCACATCCGAACCCTAACCCAACACTCCCAGTCTACTTTCCTAGTCTAGTTTTTTACTTCCTTTTTCTTTTTCTTTTTAACCAACAGTCGTTTCCGTTTCAGTAGTTTCAGCTCCATTTTCAATTTCAATTTCTCAGAAAATCTTTTCACAAATTCATTGAATTTTTAAGTGGGTTTCACGAGATAGTTTCTCTGGGTTTTCACAATGGAAGTCGCACAATCTTTCACCTCTGATTTGGGTTTTTTGCAGAGAAAGACGACGCCTTTTCTTGCTGAAGCTTTGATTTCTGAAACCTTTGTGTCTGTTCATAGATCCCTTGCGTTCCTTCTCATGATGGTATATCTATTCACGAACCCTTTCTCCTTTTTGTTTCTGTTTCAGTTGCTTTTAGTTTTATGTTCACTGTAAAACAATTGAATTTAATTTGCTGTTACTTCTATTTGTTTCTGTTAGATAATTGGGGTTTTGCTTCTCGAGTTTAAGGTGTCGCTTTCTATATTTTGATTTTGACTTACAATCACATTCTTTTATGTGTCTTTTTGTTGTTTAATGTCCTGTGGAAACTTTAAACATGTTCTTGTTTTGTTTGTTTATGTCTATGACATAATCATCGCTTGTATATACGTTAGATTTTGCTGTATTTGGATGCCCACCAGGTGTTTGATGTTTTGATTATTTTCTGAACATTATTGTTTGACTCTTGTTAAATTTGTGATTTTTTTGTCTTTCATTGAACATTTTCTTGTTTGGTTAATAATAGTTAACAAATTTATATTGATTTTGAGAATATTACATGAAAGGGTAAATTCAAAATATCACTTTTTAGTACATATTAATCTTTGCATATGTTGTAGCTCTAAGATTTAATATGTTTACACTTTTCAGACAGGACCTCTTCTCAATGATGTAGTTACATCAAGGTAACATTTTTTTTTCATGCTTTTTGGAGTTTTGTTTGGAAATTGGGTCTTTTTATATAAAACAGTTTGTTGTCAATTTGTGGTAATAAATAAAATAAAATCTTGAAACTTGCAGGTTTCTTTTCTCTGAGCTTCACAAGAGGGACAAGACTGAACCTGAAGCTAAAGAAGGGAGTGATGATGATGATGATGATGATGAAAAAGATGATGATGCAGAGGAGGCAGATGATGATGCTGGAGATGAAGATTTCTCAGGAGAAGAAGGGGGAGAGGATGATGATGATGATGATGAAGAAGACCCCAGTGAAGATCCTAAGGCAAATGGTAATCAAGATGATGATGATGATGACGATGATGATGATGATGATGATGATGAAGAGGGAAATGATGATGATGAGGAGGAGGAGGAGGAGGAAGAAGAGGAGGAAGATGATGATGATGAAGAAGAACAACCACCTGCTAAGAAGAGAAAGTAAAGTATTTGGTAGAAAGGTTAAGTTTTTATTAGGTATGTCTTGTGGGATTTCAGAGTGTAGGATTATTAATTTAACTATCTGAATCTTTTTTTTTTTTCTTAGAGTGATTGTGATCTCATGTTTTATTGTCATGAACTGATTGGTTTGCATATATTTAATATTCCCTTGATGAATAATCTTGGGATTTGTGTGTTTTAGAGAAGATGATTATTTATATGGTGATGATGTTTTCTTTGTTGGGATAATGTCATTGAGTAGGGTTCATAGTTGGTTCATAACATCTCTTTTGTAGATTTTAGGGTTCTTAGAGTCACATTTAAATTCTTCATCTTGATTTATTTTGTTTGTTTGTTTTCTTCATCTTAATTTGTGTTTATCTTGTTTGTCTTGGATAATACCCAAATCTATCAGATTAGCTATGGTGAAGAAAAAGCTATTGAAGACGATCATGCCTTAATCAAGTATATAGTGACATATCTCTTACTATGGACCTACATACACTGTAATTATTTGTGTGGACCACTTAATTGATTACGCTGAAATAGTACTAAAAATAAGACATGTACAACAAAATTTGATTTATTACACGTGAGAGATAAAAAATTATGTCATTTTCTTCTGAAAAAGATTAATGTTGGAAGGGACAATCAAACATAAAGGCTTCAACATATACCCCTTCACATGGAAGTTTTGGGAAGAAATCTAAATGGACTTGATTATGGAGTTGCCAACATCGAATGAGCTACATGTTATTCTTAGTCATAGATCCCTTGAGCAAATATGGACATTATATTGGGTTAAAACACCCCTTCATAGTCTTATCAATAGTAGAAGTCTTCGTGTTAGAGGTGGTCGAATTACATGGGATTCCATTGTCTCTTATTTCATATTAGGCTAAAAAATTCCGTAGTCACTTTTGGAAAGAGATGTTTAAACTACACGTGATGCAACTTAAGTACAACACGAGATACCACCCTCAAATATATGGTCAATCGGAGGTGGTATACAAAGGATTAGAGAAGTAATTACTGTCAAGGGCGGATTCAGGGGTATCCAGGGTGGCACCGGCAACCCATGACTTTTCTAGCCGCAGTGGAAAAAATTTCGAACTTTTTCAAAAATTTTATTTTTTCTACTATTGTGCAACCCCTGACTTTAGCAACGGTTAAAATGGTTGTTGTAGGCGGAATATTGGTACACTATGACATACCATTCCGGCCTAAAGAGCTCATTATTTCAAATTTTATATGGGTGTGGACAATCCCTACTATTAAGATACAAACCAAATTCAACAAAATTGGAAGTTATGAACCAACATTTGTTGGATTGTGGTGAGATTCTAGACAATGCAAAGATGCACCTTCTTAAGGCACAATGTAAGATGAAGCAATTTGCACATTTACATTGAAAAGGAGGTAACTATTAATGTTTGAGAATTCATATTTCAAAAAATCCAAGGATAAAGACCATATCGCATGAAGCCTTTGATTTGTAGTAGTAGTAGTAGTCCAAAACTAACCGCAAAACGTATGGTCCTTATGCTACACTTCAAAAGTGGGAGTTGTAGCTTAGCCGTTGGATTAGATATATGTTTTACCACATTAAAACCTTCATTCAACTCTCCTAACCATTTTATTTTCTATCTACTTCAAACTTCATCTTTAAAAATGGTTCATGTTTGGACTACGGATGAAGAAACCATATTGGATCGTTCATTGATTGATGTAACTGAATAGCCAATTAGCATCAACGTCGACACGCCTATTTTGTGGAGGAGAGTCTGCGAAAGATACAACCATGATGCATGTCGACGTCGAAGTAAATATCAACTCTTCTCCAAATGGAGACATACAAACACAACAGCAGTGCAGTTTCAAAGTATGTTTCTTAGGATAAGGCGTGACGCAATAAATGATGAAAATGAAAAAAAAAATTATTCGTCAATGCTTTTGAGGTTTTCCGTGAAACAAGTTTGTTGAGTTTTAACAAGTTGCGGTGTGGCAAAAATGACATCAATATGTCAAATAAACTTGTTTTGTGTTTTATTTTAAGTTGATGTTTGTTTTAATGTTTCATGTGTTTTTTTAATTTCAAGTGTCGTGTGTGTTTTTTGATTTTAAGTTGTCTTTTAATTTCAAGTGTATTTGTTCTTGGTACTTTAATAAAAAGATTTAATTTTATATATTAGTTTTTATATAAAATATATTTTTTTCTGTTTTTTTTTTTTTAAAAGTGTGTTTCATGACAAAAGTAGCAAACCTCATCTTCTAAATATCAAACTTTTGAAGAGTTGTGACAAATCTTAAGTGGCGACTACGTGGACGCAAAAATGATGTGATAAAAATAACACCGCTCCCTCTAGCTTATGCCTAGTACTTTTGCAAATAAGAGAAGCAAATCTAAACAATAATTCATTGCAATTTTCGATATAACGTAATGGAGTACAACTTGTAAATCGAAGTCATAGTCCAATGCATATCAAATATGATGCAACCTCATAAAAAAGTCTATTATTTAAATTAAGTATATCATAAATATAAAATTGTGAGCTTAATAAAGTTAGATAAGTGCCATAAAGTTGATGTATTTTCAGCAAAGAGCTTTTGAGAGTCTTTAGTTTTATGAAAGAAAAAAAAAACTTGAATTAAAGAAACAAGCTAACATTTGGTAGCATAAGCTTTTAGCTTTTATTGTAAACAAAAAACTCATAATCAAAAACAAAAAGCTACTTCAAATAGCTTTTGAGAGTTTTTAGCATTTTGATTTCAAGTAATTTTACCTATTTCAAAAGTTTACAACTACTTTCATCAAACATTTTACACAAATAAAAGCTACAACCAAAAGCTTTCAGCTTCATGCTACCTAAACATAAAAATGATGTTTGACTACTGAAAGTTGTGTTTGACTTGCAAAAGGTTTTGTAAGAAATTGTAATCTCAAGTGATTAAATTCTCTCAAGTATTCGGTTTGCAACAAATGAAATGGAATTCATGACCAAAAAAACTTGAGACACAAAAATGAAATCCTATGAATTGAATTTCATGCATTGAAGATGGAAGGTTGAAATTCATCAGCCAGGATTTTGTAAATTACTAAATTCCACCCAGATTCAATTATGTATACTCATTTACTACCAAACTTGTGATTTCAATGTAACTATATTTCAACTCTTGCAAAATCCCATGACCTCTGTAATGCTAAATGCATCAATTTACATCCATTTCAAGAATTACTTAAATCCCCAATGTAATTTAAACAGCAAGCCATTTCTGATAGAACCTGATGAAAAAACAGATTTTGAAATTTCGAATAACAGCAGTAATCATAGAATGATGATCCAAAACAAAAGAAAAACGTTAATCAGCATCGAAAGCATATAATCCCAACATTATATAACAAATAATATCTGGTATTTTATACCAATACAAAATCAAGAATAAAGCAACTCAATTCTGTTTCCAATGCAATCAACCAAAAATATCTAAATTAAGAGAAACGAACACTTTATTACTTCAGGAAACAATTTAAAACCAGAAATACATATCCATGAACTCATTCAAGAACAAAGTAAACATGTAAACTGAAGAATTTAACTTACTATGGCAATTTCCCAGATCGAAAAATGGCAAATTTTGAAGCGACTGAATAGGAATAAGAAACCCCATTCTCCTTCAAGAATTCCTCGATCAGTTCTTTAGCTTTCTCAGGCTCAGTGCTCTCACACTCAATCTCATACAGTGTACCAAAATCGAAACTTGTTTCATCCACTTCAATCATCAACCCTTTCCACTCATACACATTTCTTAAATTCTTAAATCCACCCAAACACACAAACCCTAGCCCTTCAACATCGTTGATTTCACCAAAAAATTCATCTTTGACCCTTTTCATGATTCTTGAGGATTCGACCAGAGATCCTAAACGGTTTGGGTCAGTTAAACATTCTTGGCCAATTGTTGGATCGAGTTCTTCTTCGTCTTCTTCGACTCTGCTCACTCCGTTTACTAGTACGGCTTTTGCTTTGAGACAGATGATGCATTTAGTGGTGGGTTGGTCGTTGTAGAAGCGGATGCGGAGGACTGCGCGCTTGGATGAGAGTTGGCCGGCGACGCCGTCAAAGAAATTGTTGTGCTGGTTGTGGGTTCTGATGTGGAAAGGGGAGAGGAGAGAAATTAGGGTTTTGTACGTTTCGGAATCGGGTATGCGGAGCTTCACTTCAACTTCCATTCTGGATTAGGGTTTTGGATCGGTAAAGGGATTCACAGAAACTGCAAGAACAAAAATGTAAAAACTATCGACTACGTGTTTAGGGGGTTTGAGTCGATTATTAAGAGGAGAGGCCTATGCGCTGAGATTTGGAAGTGGTGGCCGAGGAGGAGGAGTTGTTGAAGTGGTGGAGGAGAGAGGTAGCGCCGGTGGGATTGAAGGTGGTGGTGGTGGCGGCGGAGGCACGCTTGCGAGATTCTTCGAGTTCTTCTTTGTCTTCGATTTTGACTTCGAGCATACTTGGTTTCCTCCTCAGCATCTTCCGGATTTGCGCGATGGAAATGGTTGCTATGGTGGTGAAGAAGCACCGTTCATGGGAGTATTGGGTACCCGACCCGACTACCCCAAGTTTAAAGTATTTATACAAAATTACATTTTCGGTCCATATGGTTTAATGGCTTTCCTAAATCAAGTTTACCTTTTAAACTTTAACGTTGATAGTTCTTAAGTAATGGTTTTGTCACACATTTAGTTAGGTCCGGTTTCAGACGCTGGGCAATCGGACGATCGCCTAGGGCCCACGACTCCAGGTGCTCAAAATTTATGGCTTAAAGTTGGTTGAAACTCAAATTATTACCTAAATGATTTTTAAGACCTAAAACTGGTTGAAACTCAAATTAGATTAAAAGATAAACAACTTAATTTGCTTGTTAGTGCTAATTGAACACGTTTATATTGAAAAGTAAATAATATATATTTTTTAATCTTCATTATATTCGTCTTTGAGGGGTCTATTTTTTTTTGCCTCGGGCCCTATATATGTTTGGACCGGCCCCTGCATTTGGTCTCTCCGTTAAACTCCCTTAGACCATCTTCAACTCATCTCATTTTTTCTTCCTAAAAATGGAGTAAAAAACAAGACAAATAGTATTTCATCTCCAACCTACTCCATTTTTACCACATTTTTACTCATAATAAGTATATTCCTAGTATATTCCATTATTCCAACTTACATAGATAGTTAAACACACCCATCTACTAATTTATTTTTAACAAATATATAATTTATATTTTTTTCATTACATTAATATTAAATACAAACGATTATATTTATAATAAAATTATAAATAAATATTATACATGCATTTATAAAAATATTACACATACACACTTTTAAATAAATAACAATATTGTCACTTGTTGGTTTTTATTAGATTATTATTGTAATATATAGGTTAACGATATGTTTAATAACATATGTTATCATGTTTGTAATATATATTTTAATTGTAAGTTTTTATAAAATATGTAATCGTTTTTTAAAATTTCAATATGTATTTGAAATTTTATATGAATTTGATGAACAAAAAAGTGAAAAACAAACTTTATATTTATAATTAATTAATATAATTTAATATATAACAAAATATTATAAGTATTAAATATTATTTTTAAATTATAATTAGTAGATAAAAATGAACTAGAAATGTATAAATATATAACAGAGGGACTAAAACTGATAACACACAGTTTACCCCCATTTTAGGAGAAATGAATAATATAACCTCATATTTGGTGTAGTACTATTCATATGCCCCAAAATGGGGAACAAATGGGGAAGGGTTGGAGAAGAATGAGAGAAGAAATTAGAGAAAAAATGGAGAATGAGAGTGGGTTGGAGATGCTCTTGAAAAAACGAGACAATCACACATGTGTTTCCGACACGAGGCACAAATTTCCAAGATTATAACGGCTCACAGTCCTTTATATCATTCTACACTCATTTGTTTTACATTGTGATATACCCCTTAGGATTAGTATTGCATTAATATCAATATAACATTTTTGCCATGAGTTTGCATGTAGTCTTTTTGCCAGTTGGATTTTATGTTAGTAACTTCCTTTCCATGTCAGTCTTCTTATTAAAAACCTATTTATACCCGACTGATTTACTTTCATATTATTCATTAATCAAGTCTAATAATTAATTATCATACGTAGATTACATCTCATTTTCCATGACCTTTTTCAACCTAGTAGACTATAGATATGACATGGCTTCCTGATAGTTGATATGCTCATCATGATCTACTCAAGACTTATCACTACGAGATATGAGTAAAAGTGTATCTTTCTAGTGCATGACATACTATATTATATCTATGGACAAACTATATGACATGTTCCTCAATAACTCTTTGTTTAAGCTCAACATGTTCTATAATCTCTTGTTAATTATTAGTGTCAAGACGCTCTTTGTTGGTTAATGAATGTAAGCCTCACAACCTCAAACTCTTAAATATGCTAGTGATGGTTTATTACCACTTCTATTTATGTGGATTCTAATTTGATTGACTTTCATGAAGAACGTAAGTCTCATAACCACAAAATCTTAAATATGCTAGTGATTGTTTATTACCACTCCATATTTTACAGGGTGTTTTATAGACCTTCTTTATTAATATAAGGTTTATGACTCTTATTGTAGTTTTTCTAAATCATATTATCAAAAACTGATTGGAAACACAATGCGATATTATTGACATAACCATATTTAGCAATGTTCAGTTTCTCATATCGATTACATCGTTGTGTACTGTGGTGACCCAAGTGGAGTTAATTGCAAAAAAAAAAAAAAAAAAAAAAAAAATCCCACAATTCCTTAGATGATTACTAAAATCCTTAATAAGATACTCACCACCCCTTTAGAAAAGAAACTTAATCTTTTTATCTAGTTGATTTTCTATTTCGTTTTAGAATGTCATGAATACCTAAAAGGTTTCTATAACACCTTTATCTAGGGGCTAGATTTTGTTACACTTTTTTGTAAAAATAAAATTTCTTGGAAAACATAAAGAAAATAAAATTAATTAAAACAAATCATAATAAATAAAAAAATGATTAAAATTTATACAAAAGCCGTTATGGGAATTTTAGTTATTTATATCATATAAGATGAGTAATTAGGTAATTAGCAAATAGGAAGTTACTATTTGCGGGTTAAATTGTAACATCCTAAATTTAGGACTAGATCACTAAAATAATAAGGTAAATGAGTAAATGATTATTTATTTAATTAAATCATTATGGGATGATCATATCGTTTGTTGATATGAATTTTATAAAGTTAGAAGTAAAAAGAATAACATTTTAAAAGTTAAAGGGCCAAAAGTATAAAGTTTGCAAAGTGAGTTGACCAAAGGGTTGATTGAATTAATGGAATGGACTACCAAAGTTATAAAATGGATGACAAAGGACTTATTATGTCAAAACTTAAGTTACAATCCTAAATATTAAGGTTTTGTGGGTTTTAATCAAAAGATGTAAACTACAGGGACCAAATGGTAAATTGTTGGGAAATAAGGATGCATCTACTTCCCTCAGGTGGAAAAGAACATGAATGAGGCATACCACCTCCTCCATGTTGGTGATTTTAATGTCACCATATCATTTTATGTAACTGAAACTAACATGTGAGCTAAGGACTTCATAATTTGTACTTTAATATATGTACGGGTTTGTGCAAAGTGCACACATATATAAGATCAAATTAGAAGCTGGTTCGACGACAAGTCGGGGGTTCGGGGCAGCACCCCTGGGTCTGGGGTTTCAAAAGGGGCGGCTCCCCTTTGGTGGGGTCTAGGGGCAACGCCCCTAGCGGGGTCCAAGGGGAAAAGCCCCAAAACCTCTCCGAATTTTACATATGGGAACATAGTGGGAAATTCAAATTCCTGAGGGTGATTATGGTAAAATTAACAAAACTCGTTAGTTTTGGAAACCCTAAATCCTCATTAAAATCCGGATTACAAACCCTAATTTTTCTTACACTCTAAAACCTCTCCACTACAAACCCTACTTTTTCTTACACTCTAATGGTGATTTTTGTTCTCAAAAGCTTCCAGGTTTGATTCAAGTGAAGATTTGAACACCGAAGCAAAGAAAGGGAGGAACAAAGGATTACAAGGTAAAATTTATTCCCCTTTTAGCCTAGAAATCGATCTCATGATGTGGGGAAAACCCCAATGGTGATTTTGTTTTGATTATTTGATTAGGGTTCTAACCTCCCTTGAGTGGTTTCCATGGTTCTAATCTTAATCCAATCATCCCATTGATTGATTTAATGATTTTGGTAAAAATCTCCATGAACCATAGAAAAACCAACTTGGGGCTATTGCAATTGATGATTAAATGGGATTGGATTCTATGATCTTGATGATATTTGATAGCATCAAATCCAGTTGTATTGTTTACGTTCATCCATAATGGTAGAATCAAGTATAACCTTGGAGTTGTATTATTTTGAGGGAAATTGTGATGAAAACAATGGAATCCTTTGTATGTAATATGATACTCATAAACATGTGTTGATACTAATAATATGATTTGAATGCAAAAACATGAAGACTTGAATGACCTTTTGTTAAATTTATGGAATATTTGGCCATAAGAGCATTTTGGAAAATCTATATTCAATTACATGTTGATTAACATACTAGAAATGAATTACATTCATGAAAACGAATTTACAATCTAGTGATGACATTAGAGCATAAACATGAAGGAATGCTAGTGAAGTTCTAGCTCTAGTGATTTTGAGCCCAAGGGAAATTTGTGAATATGAAATTGGGAAAATATGATGACATCAATGGATTTTATGTATTATGGTATATTTGTTGAGCAAATGAACTTCATAGCCATGAATGGATGATATTAGAATGATTTGGATGCAAAATAATAAGTGTTGATTGATTATTAGATAACCCATGGAGTTTGTGCTCATAATGGAAAAATAGGAAAGTTGGAATGGAATTGGACATTCCATAAACCCATTAAGGAGTTAACATGATATTTGTGTAATTTTAAACACATGACAACATCCAATGATGTTTTTAATGACTTTATAATAAGTCACAATGGTTAGAATGCATGGGTGAGCATCTTACACTTTTAATCTGTCATACCCCTACCCGGTCGATGGCGAAAATGTCAGGTGGTGACAATACATAGATTTCCCAAATCAT